ATACAACTACCTTATGATATAACATAGTTATCCAAAAGATTGCAAGTCAAGATTACAATAAAGGGACATCCACAATAGCTAAATTGTGGAAATGGCACAGATTCTTTGTAACTGATGAATGGATCAAGAAAATACCACACACACACACACACACACACACTGAAATTTTTTCAGCCATCAGAAAAAGTGAAATTAAGTCACTTGTGGGGATGGACTTGGGAGAAAAATTGTATTAAGTGAAACAAAGGTGCCTTTATTCTATCATATTTTGAAGATAGTCAAAATATATAAAGAAAAATACACAGGACCATATGCACAGTCTTATGAACATACATGGTCAAATTGACTTGAGTATGACAGAAGCAAAAGGTGAGATTCTATGGTTTAACTCTTTGAACAATTAACAGTTTAATTAAATGAATACTAGTAAGCTGAAACATGTCTTGCCTCTAGGAGGTGAGAATTAAATGAGGGGGAAGCAGAAAATAGAGAGTCATGGTGGCAAAATATAGTCATAATACTCAATATTCATATGTGAAAATGGAAGCAGGTGATGGTGGGCATGGGAAAGATAGGCAGGAGAACAATGAAGGGATCAAAATTAACTATACACGTAAAAGGACATGTTAAATTGAAACCCCTTTGTAAAACTATTTGAAAATCATAATAAAAAGGAATATGGGCCCAATCAGTTTTTTAAATTCAGATTATATTTAAGATGATGGAAAATTTTGGACAGAGTGATTGATAGCTAATAACAAAACTATAAGAAATGACTTAAAGCAGTAATTTCCCAACTTTTTAGTACAGTGGCAATAACAAGCATATTTTACATTGTTTTCAAATGCATGTCCATATATTATTAACACAGAACCATTGTGTCCAATTTAAATCAAATTACAACAGCATCTGGAACTATGCTTGGAAAAGTAGAGTGGTGATTCTGCTTTCAGTCTTTCTAAATAATTAGGAAGAACACTGTCATTTTAGTATACCACGTACTTGCGCTTTTCCTCATACTTACAGTTCTTCATTTCATTAATTTACTCCCATTTTGTTCATGAGAAATGAGATGACTACAAGTATGGGTGTCCGTAGTAATCTGTTTTGTTATTGTGTTTCTGATTAGGTGTTTTACTGGAAAGGAGTGTTGTTTGAGGCTATTTTGAACAAACTTTTTTTTCCTCCTAATTTTCCCATCTACTCCTTGTTGTACGCAGAAAGCTTTCTGTTTATATGTGTTATTTTTATGTGTGCTACTCTGCTAACTGGGCTTATCAATTCTAGGAGTTTGAAAGTGAAGTCTTTAGGGTCCTTTAGATATAGGAAGTCTGCATATAAGAATAGTTTGACAGCTGGGCTCTGGTGGCTCATGCCTGTAATCCTAGCTGCTCAGGAAGCTGAAATCTGAGGACCGCAGTTCAAAGCCAGCCTGGGCAAGAAAAGTCTGTGAGACTATCTCCAATTAACCATCAGAAAACTGGAAGTGGCACTGTGGCTCAAGTGGTAGAGTGCTCACCTTGAAATGAAGAGCTGAGGGACAATGCCCAGGCCCAGAGTTCAAACCCCATGACTGGCAAAAAAAAGTTTGACTTTTTTCCCCCACACAATCTTGTTTTGTTTTTTGTTATTAACCCCTCTGATATACAGAGGGGTGACAGTTACATGAATCAGTCAATGAGTAATGAGTAGTTCTTTTTGAACCATGTCTCCCTTTCTGTTTCTCCCTAGTTTGACGTCTTCCTTCACTATTTGAATCCATTTTATATCATTTGCATGCCTCATTGCTCTGGTGAAAAATTGAACATTTAGGATGATATTGACTATGTGTTTATCATGTGTAGCTTTTATTATTTTATGGTATGATTTTTTTAATGCTAACTTCTCCAGAGATTTTATCATAAAAGGATTTAGGTTTTTGTCAAAGGCCTTTTCTATATGTATTGAGATGATCATTTGATTCTTGTCCTGGATTGTGTTGATGTGCTATATATTGTATTATTGGCTCCATTGTGTTTATTGATGTGCTTTATTGTGTTTATGCATGTGGCATGTCGCATTTTTTAACCCATCAAAATATCACTGCCAGCATTATTTAGTACCAAATTGTTTGCCTGGTTCAAGGTTAGCAATCTATTATCTAACTTTTTTTATTGTGAAAATACTGTACAGAGGGGTTACAATTACATGGGCAAGGTAATGAGTGCATTTCTTATCAAGCATTGTTGCCTCCTCCTTTGTTTCCCCTTCCCATCCCTTCCCATTCCCACCCCCACCCCCCAAAGCAGAGTACTATCTTACTTCTCCCAGATCATGGCCCCATCGGTTTTATTTTCTACTTAAACAATAAGCCAGTTTTCTTCTTTAATAATTTTACTCTGTAATACAATAATTGGATTCTTGATTCTACATCAAGGATAAATACCCTATAGGATGTTATTCAATCACTGACCTTTCATCGACCTATAGTAAATTCTATTACTAACAGCATAAGATTGTAACACTAAAAATATATTTGCCCTTTGAGGATTTTGATGGCCCAATAAACCTCTTCAGGCAATGATGTTTGTTTTGGGGGTGAAAATTAATGTAGAGGAAATTTCAGAGTACTTTTCCTGGCTACGTGATCCTAGTTCACCCGAGAATACTCAATTATAAAAGCATCTATTAGCTTGAGACAAAATGCACAGTAGTAACCAGATTGTGTAGATTATATTTTCACTGCTCTTAGATTCTCAAACTAGCCCTGGCAGATAAAAGGACATCACTGGGGCTGGGAAGGTGGCTCAGTGGTAGAGTGCTTGCCTTGCATGTATGAAGCCCTGGGTTTGATTCCTCAGCACCACATAAGCAGAAAAAGCTGGAAGTGGCGCTCTGGCTCAAGTGGTAGAGTGCTAGCCTTGAGCTGAAGAGCTGAGAGACAGTGCCCAGGCCCAGAGTTCAGGCCCCACCATGGCAAAAAAAAAAAAAAAGACATCACTGTGTTTTCACTAGGATTTTTTTGTGCAACAAAACAGCATTTAGAAACTGGATACCAGTGGTCCACACCTGTAATCTTAGCTACTCAGGAGGCAGAGACCTGGAAGATGATCTGAAGCTATTAACCAGCAAAATGCTATACTGGAGGCAGAGCTCGAGTGTCAGCAAGAAGTAAACAAGAAAGCTGAGTGGGAGCTGGAGGCCAAGTTAAAGCTCCATTACAAACACACACACACACACACAAGGACACACATGCACACATACACACACATGCACACACATGTAAACACATACGTGCTCACATGCACACTTACTCAGTAGGAATAGAAATGTCAAATGATGTTAAAAGGCCCATGATTACAAAATGTCTTAGTGATTGTTTAAATTGTGTGTGTGTTTGCACTACTAGATGATATTATTTCTAGAGAAGGGAAACATATAATCATATTTTAAACATGCTTTTACAATCCAGTTATTTGAACACTCTAAGTGGAAACTGCAACACTATTGAAACAACTTAATAAAAACTTTGCCTCTTTAAGTCAAAGTCATTGCTTTACAACTTTTAGTTCATGTTAGTAGATGAGGGAAACTGCCACTCAAAGACCAACTGTTGAAGAATACAGGTGGCTCACAGCTGCAATCCTGGCTACCCAGGAGGCTGAAAACTGAAGATTTTGGTTTGATGGTAGCATTGGCAGGAAAGTCCACGAGACTCTTATCTCCAATTAACCAAAAAAGCTGGACATGTAAGTGTGGATAAAATGGCAGAGCACCCAACTTGAGTGACAAAGCTAAGGGACAGTAGCCAGTAACTATACCTTGTACCAGCACAAAAACAAAACCCCATCTGTTTATGAACAGTGTTTCTTCTTCATCTATTTTTATTCTTAAAATTATATATTTACATATATTTAAGGTGTACGGATAATATTTTGATAAACATACTGAACAGAATACTACCATCAAGCTAATTAACACAATCACCTTTTCAAATTGTTTCAAGGACATAATATAGTATCATTAATTCAAATCACCTTGCTATTAGATTTCCAGGTTTTTATTTTTTTAATTATCTTTAAGTAGTTGTACAAAAGAGTTGCCATTTAACAAAGCAGTTTATGAATACAATATGTCTTGATCAATGTCACCCCTTTCAACTCCCCTACCCACCCTTCCTTTACTCTTAATTTTGTATGATATACATTGGATTGTTGAGTGCATTTCCGCCCCCCCTCTTCATTTGTCTAACCCTTTCCTCTTTTTCTTTTTTTTTCTCTTTTTATATCCCCTTTCCTCTTGACCCCTTACCACACTTTTCAAGTACTTGCTTCCTGGTGTTTTGTTTTGTTGAACTTTGATTTGGGCTTTCTAAAGATTTACACTATTGGAGAGCTCCCTTGAATCTACTATATTTCAGTTAATACATTTTTATATGCTTGTATACCACTCAAAGTATTTACTTATGAGTTTGTAAGCTAAATATAGCTTCAACATACAAGGAAAACATGGATCCTTTGTTTCTCTGGGCCTGACTTACTTCATCTAACATAATTTTTCTAAGTCCTTTCTTTTTTCACAAATAGTACATTTTTTTCTAATTGATAAGTAGAATTCCATTGTGTGTATAACATATAAAACACATCACATTTTTTTGATCCATTCATTCCTTGAGGGTCATCTGGGCTGGTTTATACCTTGGCTATGGTGAATAGTGCTGCTATAAACATGGTTGTGCTGCCTTTACTGAATCCTGGTTGGCAATATTTTGGGTCAATGCCCAGGAGAATTGCTGTTTAATTTCTTAAGGAATCTTCACATTGCTTTCCAGATTGGATGGACAAGATTATATAATCCTGTAACTAAAAGAACCTACGGACTCTTCCCCAAGCTAATAGATTTGATTCAAAACTTTGGTAAAAGTAGCAGGGTATAAAAATTAACCCACAAACTCAGTACCTTTAGGTATGCCAATAAGATCAATACTGAAATCAGGAAAGCAACTCCATTTACAATATCCTCAAAAAACTTAAAATAATTAGGAATTAATGTAAACAAAGATGTGAAGAATTTCTACAATGAAAAGTTGTTAATTGAAGAAGGAAACTGAAAAAGATTTAAGGAAATGGAAAGACCTTACATGCTCCTGTACTGGAAGAATTAACATTGTGAAAATGGCAATATTTCCCAAAGCAATCTACAATTTCAATGCAAAATCCATCAAAACCCCAACATCATTCTTCAATAAAGTAGAGAAAACAATCCAAGAATTCACACGGAATTAAAAAAATACCCCAAATAGCAAAAGCAATACTTAGTAGGCAGAATAGTGCTAGATGAATTACAATACTAAACTCCAAACTCTATCACAGAGCCATAGTAATAAAAACAGCTAGGTGCTGGCACAAAAACAGGCCCGAAGACCAATGGAACAGAACAAAAGACCCAGATATAAACCCACAGATGTACAGCCATTTAATATTCAGCAATGTTGTGTCATCAATCCCCTTAAGTCCAACTTCCATCCTTTAAAGAATTGTGCAGAATAAAACACATAAACACATAATTAATAGTAAATTATAAAAATATAGTAAAAATTATTTCTTTCCTTCTTGAAGAAAAGAACATGGCAGTAAAGACAGGCAGTCACAAAAACTGGCTTGGGATGTCTAATACAGACATTAACTAGAGGTATAGGCTCATCTACTATAGAGACTGGCTCTTTATTAGATAGGTAATTTTTAAATATTTTCTCTCAATCCACAGATTCCATTTCCACTTTGTTGACTGTTTCCTTTTCTGCATAGAAATCAAAGCATCCAACTTTGTCCTTCTTGTCTAAGATTGTCTTGGGTATGTAGGGTCTTTATGTCTCTTCACAAATTTTAAAATTGGTTTTCGATTCCTGTGAAAAATAGAAGTTGGTAATTTTGATAGAGATTATATTGAATCTTTAGGTAATTTTGCACAGTAAGGGAGTACGATGGTTAGGGAAATCTAGTCTGATGTTCATATTCATCTCACAATAACACAAGTCTCTTGGTGCATTTTTGTGTTCCATCTTTACCCTTGTGTTTAGCCACTTTGTATCATTCCTTCACCCTATATGAATACATGCAAACTACTTCATATACTATTAGGAAAATATACAATTTTTTGAAAAATATGGAAATATGTGTGTATATTAAATACAGACATTGGAGGCTTTTTGTTACCTCATTGGAGTGTTCTTGTTATTCGTGTACATTTTTCCCTCCAAGCAGATGACACTCTCTCATACAGTGTTCTTACCCACAAGGTACTGAGAAGACTTTTAAGAATCTGTTCTGGTATCAGGAAACCTACGCCCTAGGAGTCCAGCCCTGGAAGCCGTTCTGTGAAGGACCTTATACAAGTCATTTAACCACTCTGTACATACCTCTGAATCTCTAGCACTGAAGGGACTAAAGTGGTTTGAAGGAATTGTTCTCTCTTGTCCTCTGAAGTGCTATGGATTTAATTAAAAGACAACCTGTCTACATGGAATATCAATATTTGGCTTTCATTCTGTCCTCAAGCTAATTTAAGTTAATTGTCAAAATGCATTGTTGTTACTCGACAGATGCCTTATGCCTTTTCAGATACTATATTTTATAAAAGTGTTAAATATCATTGCAGCAAAGCAGATAATACCTAAAGGATGAAGGAAACAATCTGACACCATTTCATTGTGCAATACATTTTTATTTTCCTTTTACCTTTTCAGTCATCTTTGAGTAATCGTTGTGTAAACAATAGAATGGAATGAAATTACATTAAATTGTATGCAAATGGCTCTAGAACACCTTAACAATTATGACAAGGCAATTATAAATAACTTTTTTCCTTAGTAATATATATATGCATATATATATATTTGCTTTTTAAAGTACATTAAAGAGCTGCCATATCTAGGGTTAGCTAGGAAAGAGCAATGTACCATCCTGGAAGCCCGTTCCCCTGAAAATTTAGAGTCCAATTTTGGAAGTTCTAAGGTTTACTAGGTTTATAATAGATATAGCCAAGCAAAGGGCTTTTGGGGATGGAAGTATTTATTCTGGAAACATTATTTGATTTTTAATCTTTGAGTCAATGCACAACTCTTTCCATCATTTACGCTCTACCTGGGTATTCTAAAGAATTTCAAGTAACACTAAGCTTTGGGTATTTTCAAGTTTATCACCTTTGCAATAACAAATCCTATCACTTAAGGAGAACCAAATCAGAGGTGTGTGTGTGTGTGTGTGTGTGTGTGTGTGTGTGTCTGTGTGTGTGTGTGTATCTATCTATCTATCTATATATATCTCAAACAAACAGAATGACAAAAATCTTTTTTTAAATAGCATTCTAAATGTTCCAATGAAGCAGAACTTACATATGCCACCTTATGTAGAGGAAATTTTAGATCTGAGACTATTTCAGAGTAAAGCAGCCTCAGGCACATTCTTAATATGAAAGTTTGCAAGGCACCTCCCTCTCCCAAGAGACAAGCAGATTGTGGGGTTGGAATTTTTTAGGCAAACAAACCAAAAGGATAGGCATCCAAATTCCTAATTCAGTCAGTTCAAAAATTAGAAGTTACAAATACTCCAAAGATAGACCTGAAAGTTTTTGTTTAAGTAAGAAGAGATTAACTGCAAGAAGCATATAATCAAAAAACTGTTTTCTTATAGCTAAGGTGTATAATGCATAAATATATGAAAAATAAAATTCACAGTCAGTTTTAAAACTAGAATTCAAGTTTGGCTAATAAATCTTAATTTTATAAGTATATTATTTTCTAAATACAACATAAAAGAGGCAGTACTGTCAGATGTACAATTGAAGTATCATAACAGAAACACCAACAATGAAAGAAGAAATAGGCTTCTGATAGAAAATTCCTTTTGTTGCCAATAAATAGGACCACCTGAGTGTACTGCAGACTCCTTTCACTCAAGGGCTATCCGAATTGATTGCTAAGAATATTAAATAGCTTTTGGAAAAAATCAGCAACAGTCGTGCAGCTGTGGCATTTGCTTGTTCTCATCTTGTGGATTGCTAGAGAATAAAGCAGAACTCAGAGTGTTGTAAGTTTTTAAAAATTATTTTTTATCCCATTTCATCGAAGCCAGCCTCTTCACAATCTTCTTATTTTGATGGGAATTGGGAGTGAGGGGTGGAAGGAGGCAGGTAGGAGTGGGAAGGGAGGGGGCCACAACAGATTAGGGCAATGGCAGGGGACATACATCAGCTCACACTCAGCTGAGCAAACCCAATCAGCTTCACCTCATCAGGAATCTCCGACCCATCACAGCCAGAAGCCTGAGAAAGGAAAAGAAAAAAATTCAGTGCTCGCGGGTGCTGCTTTCCAGAAACGTGTTCATGTGATGGCAGATTCAACTAAGCCACTATCTTCTATTGCAAGAGAGACCTGAAGAATCATTCCTTTAGCTTGGCACAGATGGCTCAGGCCTGTAATCCTAGCTATTCAGGAGGCTGAGATCTGAGGATTGAGGTTTGAAGTCAGAAATCACAGAAAAAGCTCAAAGTAGTGCTGTGACTCAAATGGTAGAGTGCTAGCCTTGAGCAAAAGGAACTCACGACAGTGCCTAGGCCTAGAGTTCAAGCCCAAAGCCTAGCTAAAAATAAAAGAAAAGAATCAGTCCTTTGAATGACTATGCAATTCTGACTGTTGTTGGCATTAGTCCTTGTGCCATCAAGCACCTGTTACTAAAGCAACACCATGTCAGGAAGCCACATTTGAATATTTCACTGATGCAACACAAACAACACATCTTAAATATTCTTTCAAATGATATCCTCTGAGAAATAACTTAAAAAGAATATTGCAAAAGCAAGAATAATAGATGGGCTAAGCCACTCAAAGTTTTTCACATGCCATGAAAAACTGGTAAGTGGAAAAGCAAGTGGTTAGCAAGAACTAGAAAGTCTATTTATGGACAAGTGCTACTTTAGGTACAAGGACCTAGTTTTTCAGGGAAAGGTAGTTGCTACATTTGATTGTGTTTGGGGTTGGGCCACGAGTGATGCCATTAGAACCTTTAAGAGATGGGGCTAGTGGGAGGCCTTAAGTCACTGGGACTGTTCCTTTTAAGTAAGAGCCTGGCCCATTTCTCTCTCCCATTTGTTTCCCAGCTATGAGGTGTGTTCTGTTCTGCATTGCACCTCGGGCACAAAGCAGCAGCAGGAACCTGATCATGGACTGCAACCTCCAGAACTATGAGCCAAAATGCATCTTTTTTTTTTATTGTGAAAACACTGTACAGAGGGGTTACAATTACATGGGCAAGATAATGAATATATTTCTTATCAAGCATTGTAGCTTCCTCCTTTGTTTCCCCTTTCCATCCTCCCCTCACCCCCACCCAATCCTCCCTGCTACCCCCCCTGCACCAAAGTTGTAAAGTTCGTTTTTGACATAATGACTTGTACTTCTCATTGTTGCAATGGGTCCACCTGTATCCCTATTTAAACGATTTGTTTTTCCCCTTCCCCTCCACAAATTATACCAACATCAAATACAGTGAAAGCAGGGGTTATACTGTGGGGGAGGGACATACAAAGCAACAAAGAAATAATCTTATAAATGTGTTAGAAACAATCGCATGAAAAAAAGAAAACATTTGAATACATATCTTAGGGTTCATTTCCCTAACATCACCTTATCTGACCTTTTCTGCTTGACTCAGACATATACTAGATATTGCAAATAAGGGAAACCATGGGACTTATGTTTCTTTGGGCCTGGCTTACTTCACTTAATATAATTTTTTCCAAGCCTTTCCATTTCCTAACAAATGGGGCAATGTCATTCTTTCTAATGGAGGCATAGAATTCCATTGTGCATATATACCAAATTTTCTTGATCCATTCATCTACTGAGGGGCATCTGGGTTGGTTCCATATCTTAGCTATGGTAAATAGTGCTGCAATGAACATAGTTGTGCTGGTAGCTTTAGTGTGGTCTTGTTTGTAAACATTTGGGTAAATGCCCAAAAGTGGGATTGCTGGGTCATAGGGGAACTCTATGTGGAGTCTTTTGAGGAACCTCCATACTACTTTCCAAAGTGGTTGAACAAGTTCCCTTCTGTCCACATCCCTTCCAGCATCTGTTGTTTTTAGAGTTCTTGATTTTAGCCATTCTAACTGGAGTGAGGTGGTATCTCAATATCGTTTTGATTTGCACAAAATGCATCTTTTTATAAGATGATTACCTCAGATATGTTTGTTACAATAGAGGAAATCAGACTAACATAGTATTGAAACAAATTTCTTTTCCACTTACAAATTTGCTTATAATATTTTAGGACACATTAATAGCCAAAGTTAAAAGTGTTTTGAGTACTTTATATTTCTCTTCAAAATCTTAAGGTGTTGGGAAAAAAAAGCCGTTGCCTTCCAATTCTTTCACTGGTCCTAATTCATAAGTCATCTTCACTTCCTTTGTCACCTATGTCTTGTTTTTACAGACAGACAGACAGACAGACACACAGACACACACACACACACACACACACACACACACACACACACCCCTCAGATATCATTCTAACCTAGCTCTTCACTCTATAGTCAAAATAGGAGATTAAATGAGTATATCAAAAAAGGGATAAAAGTTTAACAAACAGCTAATTACCAAGGAATCTTACAAAACTTTTCTAGGTTATTTTCTGCTGAGTTATTGCCATAAATATTAGTTTCCCATGGAAAGTGGGCCCTTCAATCACCACCATTAATTTCACACACATAGCACAGCTTGTATGTTCAGGATGTTCAGAAAGTAGACCAGCCTTTACCAAGTCTAGCATTAACAAAGCAACTAACTGAAACATATTTTAGACATTTCAGACAAGTATTATGTGTAAGTTCTTATGCAAGAATATCAATAGTCTAAAGAGTAGGAATATCAGACAAATATTAAAGATTTTAATACTCTACTTTGTGCCTGTCCAGTGGTACCTCCCCAGTGAAACACAATGGTCACTACTGGCATAAGATCAGCCAGATCAGAGATGCAAGATCAGAGATGCTTCCTTAGTGTTCACTTAGAACATGCAAGTACAGCACAGCAGGCATTAGCCATATTGACACTAGAATATTTAGTCACATCCCAACCTAATCTCTCATTCTAATCCCCTAACCTCTCCCTTCCTTGTTCCTGGGTAGCTCTTGCTAACCTCACTTACTCAACTGAATAGTGGTGGTAAGAAGATGACTGACAAGTTTCTGAGGACTAACTACTGCTGTTACAGGTGGCATGAAGGTCAGACTGGTAAGTGTGGTATGGTAATGAAGATACCAGGAAATTCACATAACTAGGAATAAGAGCAAAACATTCAGCTATTAAGCTGACCAGAAACAAGAGAAATTCAGAATCTTTTTTGTGAGTAGTAGAAATGGGCTTTATAGGGAATGTGGATTACAGGGCTCTGAGTCTCTGGCATGCATGTTTCCTGGTAAGCCTGGGGGCTTCAAGGCAGTTCAGGCCCTCCTGCCTTCTACTCTTCCTGTATCTCTCCTTGTCTCTCAGTCATAACACACAAAGGAAGACAATATATAAATATCCTGAAATGCAGACAAAAGGGAAACCCTTTTGAATTTCCTTACACTCTTAAAAATTACTAAGGACTTCCAACTGCTCATGTATGTGTGGGTTATATTTATTACAGTGACTCAAAAATTAAAACTGAGAAAATTTTAAAATATTTTAACATTGTTAAAAGCATGTATATGTATATTACTGGTATGGATTTAATCAATCCAGGGCTTCTTACTTGTTTCCACTTGCTCAGCTGGTGCTCTGCTACCTGAGCTATTTGCTAGATAAGTGAAAATAGTCTCACTGAAATGTCTACCCTGAATTCTCTGAACTGTTTTCTTCAGAATCTCAGCCTCCTGAGTTTGGCCCATTGGCACCCAGCTGGTTAAAAAATTAAAAAATATAATAACCATTATATTAAAAATACAAAGCATGTATACTTAGGTTATATTTATTATACTATTTTAGAAGTTAAAATACAAAAGTAAAAATTATTTATAGCTCAGTGGTAGAGCGCTTGCCTTGCATGCCTGAAGTCCTGGGTTCGATTCCTCAGCACCACATAAGCAAAAAGAAAAAAGACGGAAGTGGTGCTGTGGCTCAAGTGGTAGAGCGCTAGCCTTGAGCTGAAGAGCTGAGGGACAGCGCCCAGGCCCAGAGTTCAGGCCGCACGACCGGACCACCCCCCAAAAAATTATTTATTGCAGTACTCTTACCAAAAAAGTAACAAAAACCCTTAGAAGATTAACATTGAATTTCATTTTTGCAAATCTCTATTGTCTTGAAAATAGCTACCTGACTTCCATATTTATTCTACAGCTTCATGTTGCTTTCCTAAAAGTACCTAAGGAAAATCAGCCTCTCAGACAAATGTAGTTAAAAAGGGGAACAATATTTCAGTAGTATTTTTCTAAGTAGTCGTGGACACAACTTGCTACCATCCCCAAACTTTCCAAGTGGTAGTTTCTTAAAGGTTATTTGCAATGTGAAAGCTGAAACCAAGAGCACTGAACTTTTCATTCTCCGTCACATTAAAATCCATTGGTCCACTTTGCCCTTTGAATGGATCTTTTACCTGTGTGTGATAGTTAAGCATCATTGAGCTTTGCAGATCTTCCAAAGGTTGACATATTTCATAATACAATATGAAAGTTTCATTGTACAGTGCTAATAAATCATATTCATTAGTATTGCCCATTACCAACCTCATCAGAAAAATCTTCTAGTCTTAGGAGACTATTGAACTTACAGAGGCTATTATGAGTTTTCCTCGAGTTTTACTCAAAAGCTCCAACTTATTATATTGACAACAAATACAGTGTTTTTAACTGTAAAGATTACTTTGTTCATTTGAAAAATAAGTGTGCTAAATACTTGAGTTAAAGAACAGGAGTTTGTCAATTATTCTAGCCAGTAAAAATCACTTTTCATTGCAAAAAAAAAAATAGTTGGGCATACAGTTAGTTTCAAAGGGGCTTTTCCTAGAGACTATCACTGTACTTTAGTATATTGAAGAAGTGATTCCTGTTTCATCAGACAGATGTTAGAAGGATATGTGCACAAATTGAGACTGAATGAAAATGAAATATGACTTGTCTCATGAGCAAAGTTCTCAAGTGAAACTGGCTGCATTTACACCAAGTGAGTAACGACCACTAGCATAGTCTGATGCCTCTGCCCTATCTGTGTCAACAGGGGTTTGACACCAATAGCAACACAGAAGGAAAGACATTATCTTCCTATGATAGTATCCAAAATCAGCTAGAAGGGTTTTAGGGGAACCTCAGAAGTCCAAAACCCATACTTTGTAAACCCAGGCTCCTAAGTGAAAATATTGTCTCAGAACACACCACTCTGGCATGTTGACTGTTCTAAGTAATGTGTCTTCCAGAAGGTACATGGAATGTACAGCAACCCAAACTCCCTGGTAGAAGGTGTTTTCTCTCTGCCTAGAAGATACCTTTGTTGTCAGAGGTGGGGAGTCAAAGCCCCAAGAAATCTGTACAGTTGAACCTTGTTAATAACTAAGTTTTATGTTCCTAGTCATGTCCTCACAATGTGCTGTGCTTGGTCCAACTCCATACATAAGTCCAGCTTCAATTTGCTCAACTCTATAATTGTTTCTTTGGTATTTATCTCCTTATGCAAATGCCCATGTTGTGTAAAACATTAAATAAACTTGTATACCTTTCACTTATTTCTTTCCCCTGCTTCCTTTCACCTTTCCTTTCATCTCTTTCTCTCTCTTTTTCTTTTCTTATGCATGATGCTGAGGACTAAACTCAGGGCCTTGCACTTGTTAGGCAAGTGCTCTCCCACTGAGCTAAATCCCCAACTTCTCCCTTTCTTAGGCAGGGTTTTGTTATAGCCCAGTCTTGCCTCAAATTCTCTATCCTCCTACATCTGTTTTCCAAGTACTGGGATTACAGGTATGTACCACATGCCATGATTGTCAATTTAACTCATAGGACCTATGAAAAATTCTTATGAGGCAGAGGTGAATTGTTCTTCTACTATAAAAGGAAAATGTGCACATTCTCAGAGATTTAGCAGGACAGTAGATAATGTCATGCATGTTATCATTTTAGTATACACTCTAGTTTCTAAACCTCCCTGCCCCACCCCCTGGCCTGACAGGCTTGTGCCTGTGGAGGCAGTGAAGATGTTGCTAAGCAACCATCCAAGGATTTGCTCAACCCCAAATGTGGGTGCAGTTTGGTATCAGCTGGAGAATATGAAAACTAAGACTAATGCCTGCCCTTTGGTTTGTGATTTTGAATTAGAGTGTGGCAAAGCCACAGAGATTCTTTGAGCGTCTCTGGTAATTCTAAGGGGACTGAGTTTGACAACCCCTATGGTACTCATGCTTCCAGAATGGGAAGCTCCAAGTTTTCTCAGTTTTGCCTTTTCAGTGTGTGGAGAAATCACTCAGAGAGCTTTTTAGAAGAGATTGCTGTGCCTCAGCCTTGGAGACTCTGATTCCTTTAACCTGAGATGAGGCCCTAGCATTTACATTATAGCAAATCTCCAGTCTCCAAGAAAAGCTGACACTATGATCTGTGGACACTTGGAACACCACTGGCATAGCTGGAACAGGAGGAAATAGGGAGACTGAACAAGCAGTACCTCTTTTACTGTTGGTCCACCCTTATCCCTCTTCAGCAGGGGAGAAAGTTGAAACTCCCAGGTAGTTCAGCCTTGACTTCCCCTGTACCTCAGGATATGATGATTTAGTAAGGCAACATCTAAGTGTGCCTAAGCTTAGCACCTCTACAAATAAGTCCTTTATCAATAATTGCCAAAATGCTTATGAAATCCTTAATTGCAACACATATGATGTCATTAAATACTAGCAACTGAAATCTACACCATGTGTATGCATACCAATTGGATATTCACTATATGTACTTAAATTTGTATTCTTTCAAAGGCTAATTAAATATAAAATATTTCATATTTTTACTAATGTAATTTCAAAAATTTCACATTGAGAGCAGCAGGACTCATCTATACTACAAAACTGCAAGTATGAAACTTAAAAATTATCTTGAGAATATTAATAAAAACCTGTCTTCATAAAAACTGGAAGGCAGGGCTGGGAAGGTGGCTCAGTGGTAGAGCACTTGCCTTGCATGCTCGAGGCCCTGGGTTCGATTCCTCAGCACCACATAAGAAAAAAAAGCCAGAAGTGGCGCTGTGGATCAAGTGGTAGAGTGCTAGCCTTGAGCTGAAGAGCTGAGGGACAGCGCCCAGGCCCAGAGATCAGGCCCCACGACCGGACCCCCCCCCAAAAGAAAAAACAACTAGAAGGCAATATTGCTATCTAAATTCAAAGCCATGTAATACTGGGGCTGAAATGACCAACAAGCCTGAACCACTTTACTAAAAGTGGCCACACCAGCAATAGACATCATATCTATTATCCTATATGCCAAACCAGGCCAATGAGCCCATTGAACGAAAAAAAAAAAGTAAATGCACTTCTTTATAAAAGCCACATCCTTGTCCTTGCCCTTTGGGCTATTATTTTTATGCAAGCAGATATAAAAGATAAGGACAAGCATCTTTCCAAACTTGAACCAGACATAAGAGGAAAAAGATCAAAGACATTGTTATCTATAAATTGAATGCTTCTCTGCCCGAGCTAAACACTTAAATCTCCTAGATGTGGTCAAAATTCCCCAAACCCAGGTCTCACAATAAGCAATTAAATCAGGGTGCCTGGTGTAGGACCCTGGCCCTGGGGATTGTTGTGTTTTAAAGTGTTCCCATAATCATCTGAGCAAAGCCACAATGCAGGGAGCTGAAGAACCACCATAACAAGATACTGCTGCCCTTCTGACAATTTTTAAGCCCCTGACATTCTCCTTTAAAAGCAATGAAACCTCTGAGATTAAATCACGATAAACAGCTGGGAGATGAAAAGACCGTGTGTTGCTGCTGCAGCAGCTTATGAGGAAAAACACTGCGGAAATACTTTGATCTTTTATTCTTCAATAAAATAACTAAATTGATGAATGAAAGCAAATGCATTTGGATTTCTGCAGTTTTTATCTGGACGTTAGTGGCCTACAGAAGATTAGGCCAAAAATCAGTTTAAATTAGCTCTGTCAAGTGAGTTTCAACCTGGCTGGCTGCTGATAACAACAAAGAAGTCGCTCGGGCTTTAACACAGCCTCGACAGAGAGTTAAGTGACAGAAATAGAAGGTCACTCTTAAGTTTGACTTTATTATGTGTGTGTGTGTGTGAAAGAAAAAGCCATCAACTTCCACTTATTGAGAATAATATATTATTTCATTGTGTAGCTGTAGCAGAAAGGAACATGTGTGTGAACTTATTCCCAGATCCTTTTATGCAGGACTCCATTGGTCAATCTTCAAGGTATAAAGGAGACTCAGTCTCAGCCAATGGAATTGCATTCAGTCATCCAAAGGAGGAACTCAAAAGGGATACATGGACTCTGCAATAGACCACATCTGAGTTTGTAGCTTCCCCCGTGTGATCCTGGGCAAGCTGATCCCAATCCTGAGGGCTCCCAAGGAGAAAGAGACCTGCTATCAGAGACAAAGCAGGGAGGCGGATCTAAAGAAAGGACTCTGCAGTGGATTTGGGGGGTAGAGGTTGTAAGAATGCACAATAGGAAGCTACTAATGCCTTTGGAGAACTTGGGGACTGTAGAAAGATTACGTTGGCTATAGCTACAGTGTGGTACACAAAACTGTTGACACTGGCCAGTTTCTGAAGAAGATAGTAACTTGTTCAGGGGATGGAAGTAGAGATAGAAAGTTGAGAAAGATTGAGGAAACTAAAAAAAATAAACAAAAAACAAAAACAAAACAAAAAAACAGATTGGAGGAAAGATGACAATGTCACATTATTCTCACTGTTTTCCTAAAGATGATGTCATAGCGGCTTTTAGAAAATCTTCAGTGTGAGGAAATGGCTAGGGCTACTTTTCTTGTATGTAGCAAAGCAAATTCAGACACAACTGGACTAAGCCAGCATGGAGGTTTCAAATGCTTATCTCTGTCTACATGTCTAAAATAACAAACATGTTCTGAAGATGATATATACAACAGGTTTGTAAACCTGCACTTGAATTAGAAATGGAAGATACAAACAACAGTCTTGTCCCAATCTGAAGAGGAATTTGGCAATTTCTTTGCTCAGCACTCGTATCTGAATAAAATATGCTTTTACTATCAAAAAAATGTGAAGTTCTCCATATACATTCTTCGTGTTTTTTAAAACTCTCTCACACAGACTCACTCTCTGAAATTAGATGAGCAGCAAGTCCCAGAAAGTTAATTAGCACCAGGCTCACATTTACTGTAACTAATCATTTAGTATTTTTGGCCACCCACATTTTCCATTTAATTTCACGAGAAACCAAAAAAGGCAGATCATCAATATATGTTGTAGACAGCAAAGTATTAGTCATCTAGATCTTAAATTGTCATGGCATTCTGACTGGCCCATGATAAGATTCATTTATAATTCTAAAATGAACCACTTATTCAGCCTTAATGTACTGTTTGCTAAGACTTCCAGGAAAACAGTCGCCTTTGACTCTCTACACTTCTCCATCTCTAGCTGTGATCAGTTCCTAATGACTTCATAGTATTCTGTCTCTGTGGCTACTCAGTATTTAGATTTAAAAGCTACTGGTGCATAAAAACTGGTTTAAAAAAAAGGTGCTCTACCAAAACCTGTTACTGTGATTTGAAATGTGGAGATAAAATGCTATGTCTTTGTTCACTAGCCTTTGGTGTGCTGTTCTGCAATTGCTTCCAATTACCTAAAGCACTTTTGCAACAATCAGCTTCTATTTTTTAAAAGTTAAAACCACTTGGCTTTCACCTCAGGAAAGCCTTAGTAAGAGCACTGCTTTCAATAGGGCTTAATTTTGTCTATGTGGTCAGGTTGCCACACAAAGTTAAAGCAAAATGGGACATACAGGCTTTGAGATTCTCATGGCCACTCTTAGTCAAAGATGACACAGGACAGAGAAGAAGTGAGGCTTACAACAGAAGACATTTCCAGCCATGCTCAGAACACATCCCAAATGTTGCAGAATCAAACAATGAATGTAATAACTGATCATCAAGGAAAACAACAACTGAAATGCAGAGTAGGTCATTAAACTATATTATTATCTCTAGCTGGCAAGAACATGACAAAACATTGTCTTCTTTCTATAACTTTCTACTTACCAACTTAAATGTCAATGTTTTTAAAGCTTTGGGATCATCTACAATCTTCTGTAAATTAGCAGCCACTGTAAAATACAAACAGAGAAACAGTGTTCATAATTACTTCTAATAACATTTGATTTTCACATCAATGATTGAAAAAAATTGACTAATGATGCAATAAACTGCAAAATCATTTCCTTCACAGACATTACAAAGTCCATATAAATGACCAAATTACTTTCATACAGATATTTTCCACAACCATTTATATCACGTCAGCAGTCTTGTATCTGTGCACATCTGAATTAATCACTGTATGTCAACCCCACATTTCAGGTAATAAAATTTGAAATCACTTTCTAATGGAAAGTAGAAATGATGGCAGCTCCCAGAGTCTCAACGACTACTTTTTTAAACTGTAACAACAAAGACTTCTGGAAACACTCAGTAAGAAATTTATTAACCAGGAGAGGGCAGTATGAAACAAAGAAGAGATACTGCAAAAGAACTTTCAATAGGAAATAACAGGTCAGCACAATCAAACTCATGGACTATAAATTCACTTGATTCTCAGCACTCATTTTTATCAAAGCAACAAAATCCAATCGATAACCTTGAGGACTCAAGCATATGTGTGAATCAAGCATATATGTGAATGCTTTCAGAGCACAGTGATCTGTCAAACCAGTAAAGTGCCACCTTGTACAACACAAGTTGGCTGATCAGGATCAAGCATGGGGGCTGTGAGATTGGGGCCCAAAATGAAGATCTGTTTCCAGTATCTGCTGGATTCATCAAGTCCCAGTCCCATTCTCTACCATGGTGTGATATATCTGATTCCTTACTCAGGAAGTCCTTCTTCTTGGCTACTCATCTGACTTAGGGTACTGTTTATGAGAATTATCTAAAGGTCATGGTGATAGAATTTTAAAACTTTGCTCTATCCATATCCAAGCTTCAAGGTTAAACTACTGAGAGGTCAAGCACTAATACTTCTTATCCTTAGCTATTCCCTAGGGAAAAAGTTGCTGATGAAAAAAAACATAGGGGAGGAGGTCCTGTTTGTCATTTTTATTAGTCATGGGAAAAATTATCTGCTGCTTCAGTAACTAGGTTATCTTTAGCAAAAAAAGTTACCTGAATTTTTTCGGGTAATAAATTTTAGGAGTAAAGAGTCTCCATGAATATTTTGAGAAAAGTGTCTTAAATAGAAAGTTTCTAAGTAGACAGTTGAAGGAAATTTGAAATGTTAAATGAAGTACCAATAATCATTATGATTTTCAGTGTACTAGTTTATTTTACCTAATGCTTCAACTCCAAAGGAGGGGGGGAAACGAAGGTTATATACTCAAGATAGCCCTTTTCTCTTTATCAACCTTAATTATAAAGCACCATTTTATTTTTGTTTGTTGCCCTCTTAGATTCATTTGGCAAGGTTTCATTTTACCAACATCTACCCCTCTCATATTTTTTTCTTTTTCCTTTGCCCATGCAAGCAGGGCTACGTTTTTCAGGCAAATCCTGGGTCACCAACCCCAGAAAGGCTAGCATCACCCAGCTTTGGGGGCCTTTTTTTTTTAACGGTTTCCTAAACATATTCTCAATCTCAAGATATGTATCCAGTAACTCACATAAGAAAAAAAAAAACACTGGGTTCTGTAGTGAAAAGCTCTGCTGTAAAATTCTGTCTACCTAAACCAGTATTTATGATGTAAGGACATTCTGACTATATGCAGATTGCATCAAGTGAATGCTTAACTCATTTTCTTAAAACAGAAGTGTTCTAACAGTTCCTTTGTTTTGGGCTGATTTCACCAGTGGCCATAAAGCCTTCTTAGGAATCTCAGTCTTTTTGTGAGTCTCTCAGTTAATGTGGATGATTTACTGCCTTGTTCTGGATCATCTATTTCCAGTCTGCTCTCTAATGTTCAGCCAAAAGCAGAGCTCTGTCTTACACTAATTCACAGCCCTTTCTCTGCTGTCCATGAACATGGACCAGGGCCAATGTCTCCGGAACCAGTGAAGCACACTGTAGGCTGATTGGAAAGCAAGCCTGAGCTCCTAACATCCTAAACAATCATCACGAGACCCATGCTCCCCAATTGTGAGTCCCACACCTCTGGGACATTAGAAATTCAAATTCTGTCTTTTGCGCAGAGCAAAAATAGCAAAACTGGCCACTTACCTGATTACTTATCACAGCTGCTATGCTTATTTTCAATTTAGTTGATTCTAATTTGTTGTAAAGTGCTATAAAACACCTTCATTTAACTGACATCACATAAAATTCAGGGTGATGCTAATTTCTCTTCCAGTAGCAAAGCTCATTAAAAAGATGGGTGTCACTGTTTTCTCCCTTCTCCTAACTGTGCACCTGGATTTCAAAAATAAAAATACTCTATACCTGGAACGTGAGCAAAGAACGAAGGGCTCGGTAGGGCTGGTATGACTTTAGGGCTCCCCACACTAGTGCAGAGAACACTATACTTATAGGACTCTAGTTTCCAAAGCCCGAGCCTTCTCAAGCCTGTTTCCTCAGTGGCCATCAGCTCACTTCAAATCCTTCCTAACTCTCCCTAATAAACCTTATACCCCTGGTTTTCATTATCTTCTTTGAGCTTGTGCCTCTCCTCCCCAGACCACTGAATCTAGTCCCAAGTGTTTGTACCACTTGGGAAAACAGACACCATTAATACACACTGAAGCCTAAGGGACTGCGGCCCTCCAACTCCATTTCATAATTCTGTTCTCTAGTTTCACTCTTGGGATTTGAGTACCTGTCAGGAAAAGAAATTTATATATATAACATGTGGCCTGGGGTATGGTAAGCATTGTGCTTTTGCAAATGGCAATCATTTCTTTAACAGCCACATGGAAATGACACTGATGCTCAATACCTCTCTGCACCTGAACACAGAAGAAAAGAAGGAATACAGACCATCATGGGAGATCTAGAAGAGGTAAGATGGCAAAGCCATGCTGATCGAACAAACTAAGCCAGGCCTTGCTCCTGAAAGGTTGTGAGGCTCAAATTCTCCACATTTTGCTAGTTAGAAAAGTAACGTTTTGACTATTTTTAGGCTGTGAATGGATTCTGAGTAACTAGTCAAAAGATACCTTATTTTTATCTCCCAGATATCAGCTTATTTCACAACAATCTCATGAGATACTGATGTTCTGGTAGTGGTGAATTAATTCTTTTAATGTGGGCCCATTCCAAACAAAAATATTGGCAAAAGAGAACCAGTGATCACGGCATCTCAGGTCCTCCAATAGTAAGACATTGTGAGATCAAAGTGTGGACTTGGGATACCTGCCAAGTGATGTCTTCAAGATACTGCTTCATCCAGGGACAACTTGCGTATCTGTTCTGAACACTGCACTGATGCAGAAAGGCAGTACGAAGTAACAAAGGAAGACAGAGCTAATCCAAGCTTAAAGGAGAAAAGGAAACGAGAAGGGAGTGGATTTCATACGGATGTTCCTCTACTACTGATGCAAAATGATGGCTAGTTACATTTTAGAGATTGGCTCAGCATTTTCCCCTAAATCTTCCAGTTCTTGCCTTCATGATATACACTGAAGCATCATGTACAACCTCAATTCTCCAGCCAGAGGATCTGAGTTCAGGTGCTGCCACCTGTTTGGAGCTAATAAACTGGGGAGGGTTTAACTCTACCTCTGTGAGCTCCACTGCCTGGTGGAATGTGATATTGACAATGTCTACCTGATGCGATTATTTCAGGTGATTAATTGGTTAAAACACATGTACTTTCTGCCCTGGACACAATGCCAGTCTTAACTGGTTTCCTTGTCTGTAGTCTCAGTTTCTGATAATTTTCCTCTCATATATTCATCTGTTGCAAGGAGAATCTAGGTCACATATTCTTCAGTAGCAACATTTCATTTTCTTGATAAAAGTCCGAGTTTTTATGTAGCCTGGCTTCAACTTATTTCCCAGCATTTCTTTTGCCACTTCCTACTCTGATTCTTCCCAGGAAAGGCCCCAGAGCTTCACTCACCTCCACATTCCCAGTGCTCTTGCACTGTGTGCTGAAGAGACCTACGTAGAGCTCATCTCTCTATCTGGACTAACTTTTGAAACCCAGGGAAAGCTTGGCCTTTGTAAAAGGTAATGTGTCTGTTGTTGTTGCTGCTGCTGCTGGCCTACGACTTAAACTCAGGGCCAGGGCACTGTCCCTGAGCTATTTTGCTCTCAAGGCTGGTGCTTTACCACTTTGGGACACTTGAGCCACAGCTCCACTTCTGGCTTTTTGGTGATGAATCAGAGATTAGAGTTTTACAGATTTTCCTTCTTAGCCTCCTCAGTAGCTATGATTCTGGCCTGAGACACCAGCATCTGGCTTTCAAAGGTAATATTTTAAAACATTGATAACTTCTTACCACCTCCACTCTATACCCCAAGTGAGGCTTATACTCTACCAGAGCTGTTCTGAATCCATGTTCATCCCAGCAATCAGCAGCCAGGTAAGCCTGCTAACCTGAAGTCAGACTGTGCTGTTTTTCCATTCAAAGTCCTCAGATGGCTTTCCTGCACAGAACGAGAGTCTTAGGTCCTGACCAGGCCATCACAGCCCACCTAACTGGTCTCCTGGACTCTATTTCTGACCTCTTAGACCACCATTCTCTTCCTTTCTGCTCCTGCTCCAACCACAACAGCCTCCATGCTGGGTCTTTCACATTCAGTTAGGTCTACACCAAGAGTCCCTGAACCTGCCAGAAGAGGAAGTGCTCTTCCTCCAGAGCTGCCTTCCTCCCTCTCAGTTTCTGTTCAAATGTCCCTGGTTATCCTATTAATACTGCTCTCCCCTTCCACCCTGTCCATACACTGCCTCAGTCTCTCTGTCATTCTCCAGATTTTGTTTTCCTCATCACACCCAGAACATAAGCTCCAAAGAGTGCAAGAAAGCTCTTCTGTTTCATTCACTCCTCTGTTTCTACTACCTGACTCAGTGTCAGTTTGTGAATGTCTTTGAGGCACTACCAACCAGCTGCAGTTGGCAAATATCCTATAGGCTTCTTCCTATAGGCTACTATGCACACAGAAATTTTCATAAAATTG